GGGGGGGCAAATAACCTCATTGACTCTTCCACTCTTCTCTGTTGACTCCTGAAATGAAAGGTGCCAGAGACAGGGTCATCCTAATGAATACCACCACACACAAAACAAGGATGTTACTATGTAGCACTTAAGACCATTAGGAAATTAAGGTTAATTTGTATAAAAAGGAGCAATTATTGACGAAAATGTGTGCATCAGTCTAGACAAACTGGGATATTCTGAGAATGATCCTCCTTTCTTCAAAGAGAAAAAACACTTTCTAAGAAGCCTGTTTCCTTGAAAGTGAAATCTAAGAGTTTAGTGTTGGGAGGAGTTAGATTTGTCTCAAAAGCTACTTAAAACAGAGCATATTGCAAGAGTGCCACAAAAGCAGCAAACTGATTCCTTTTATGGTGAGCCAGAAGTATGAGGAAGTATTTGAGAAAGAAGGGGAGCATGCCTTGAGTAGGGGAGGTTCTGGTGAATGCACCCCTTCATTTAGACATTAAAGCTATCCTCCGTCCCCTTAGGGTCCTCACAGCCCACTTGATATAGAAATAAACCCAACAGGTGCCTTCTCATTAAACAAGATGAGAGAAAACACAGCTTTGCCCTGTGGCCACGAGTGAACTGATGGTTGAGGTGAGAATATGCAATTGTGGTTGAGGAGATGTGCAAAGGGGCTTTTCAAAAGGGAGTGGACTTAATGTGTGTGCATGTGCACTTACTCTTTTTCTTTGCGGTGATATCTCCAGTCTCATTAGGGCACACTTGTTGAGGGTGTTCAGTCTCCTGCAAACACAAGAACACACATGCCAAATTTGTTACATTTAAAATGGGTTTTAAAATATTACAGGCCCCTGATTTTTCCTATAACACAAATCTCTCATCACCAAGAGGATATATGATGGAAGAAAAGATGAAACAGGGCAAAAAACTGAAGTGGGGAAGAGAAAGACTGGGAGGGGAGGCAGGGGAGTTTGGGTGCACCCAGGCTGGCTAATGAGCTGCTGAAGGATAATCCCCACATGAGCGGGAAGAGAATGAGAGGGAGACAGAAAAGGAGAGGGCGAAGAGAATGAAATCTGCTGGAGTGGCGACAACAACTTGGGGAAGGGGGGCAGAAAGCTTATCCCCCCAGCCACCTGGAGAAGGGGAGCAAGGGTGGTGGTGGGGTCCACCCTCTGGAGAGCTCTTAGAGCAGATCATGTAACAATGGAGAGATGGGAACTGAGGGATAGTTCGGGCTGTGGGGAGGAGGGGGGTGAAAGGCTGCCAAGAGAGGAGACATTGAGATGATAGCTTCCAGATGTATGGAGGGACACCTGCTGTGGTTTATTACTGAGAGTCGGAATTTGATGAAGGAGTCGACTCCATTAAAGAGCCATTAACCTCCTCCTCATATGCTAATTAATATGGTAGGAGCACCAACTAGAATACCAACCCAGCCTTCTCCAATGATACCTACTGCCATTTAGCCCCTTTTCATATACACTAAGATGAAGATTGAATCTTTGAAACCATGAATTCCCCAGCTGTGGTAGCAAATGCGACAGAGTTTCCTATGTCTATTATAACATAAAAAGAAACACAGAATGTAAAGAGCATTGCGTGACTGGGAGTGAGATATGTGCTTGCCAGGACCATACAAAAGACTGTAATGACTGAGGTAAACACTGTCAGCCCCAGAGAAAGAAGAAAATGTCGAGAGGTATGGGCGTAGAAAACTAAATGGAGAGGAAAAGGTACAGTACATGGCTCCAAGGTGCTTATCGTGTCATTCTTTTATCTCATGGGCAGCTTTCCAAAGCATGCCTCCTTTTGAAGTCATACCCTCATTCATGGTTTCATTGGGGGTGGTGGGGGGGGAACAAGAGATAGCACAGTAAAGTATACGAAGAATAGTGCAAAACATCAAGGAAAGAGAAAGATAGTACAAAAGATTCAACATGAATTGTAATCTCACCTGCAGAGAGCCTCAATAGCGTACCGATCGAGGAAGTCATGGTCTCTGGTGACTGAAGAGATGTCAATGGGAAACAGGGCATCTAAACAGAGAGCGAGAGTCAGATTAGTGTGGGTATCTCCACGCCGCTGACTGGATCAGTGTGTTCAGATAAAGCTAAAGATACAGCCCCTAGCCTTAAAAAACACCCACCCACTCAAACACCCACCAGGGCCTTCCGTCCCACCTTCACCCCCCATACGGCATTGATGAAAAGCTAAAAGAGGAAGTAGCGTCTTAGCCGACCAAACAAACACAGCTGCAGCTTTCAGACCCGACAGGCAGGGGGGATGTGGAGCACAGAGGGGGAAAACAGAGGACTGATTGAAGAATGACAATAGGTACTCCACCGCTGCTCAGAGGTCCTACTTCCTTTTCTCCTTCTCATTCTTTCTCTCCTAGTCTACCTCATTAACAGGATCACTTATTCACCCAGTCACAGAATTAGCAATGGCGCAGTTTAAGTGTGCCTTAAATCATACGGAATATTTAAGCACCATAGTATTGGGATGGATGGGCAGATTTTAAGATGTTTTCTGGAATGCATTGACCCAACCCAAAATGGGAATCTCGCATCAAAACCCCCCGGGGGCGATGATGACGATGATAAGAAAATGCTGTTTAAAGGAGGTCTGCACCTTTAGCATACTGTACCGAAACAGGCTTATCAGTCTGCTTATCTTTAGTGGGGCAATAGTATTGACAGCACAGACAATGGAGATTGTCCCATGGATACAAGGGAAGGAAAAATGTGTCAGGCATTGGCAGAAATTCCTAGCATGGAGACGGCTACAAGTGACAAACTAGCAAGGGTGTGAAATCTGCATAGTGATTGATTGTGGTTGGCAGTTTTGCGTTGCTGTTCATGTATTTATGAAAACAGCGTCATCACCTGCCCAGAAACACAATGAGCTTTCCGTTCAAATAGAAAGCCTTTCACGGTTAAGTGGCAACAAGCAATGACCTGCTGACAATGGTAGCTTGGTCCTGCTGTCATCGTCCTGTAGTTACATAAGAGCAACTGGTATGTCCATGGTATGCCACAGTATAGCTGGAGTAGCTATATGAAGTGAAGAGAATGTTTGATGTATTTTGGTGAGGGTGTATTTAAAACTCAAGGGTCTGGCAAAGAATTCCTTCTCAAGCATTTGTCACTGTATAAGTAACTTTAGAGTTTTGTGTTTATATTAACAAGGTAAAGACCTTTGGTCCTCACAGAGTAACTATACAAGTTACGTCAGAGTTCATGTTTGGAATATATAGCAGAGTGTGCTAAGATCCAGCAAAGTGCTGGTGCTAAGAAAAAGCATAACCCTTATTCCTCAGGAATGTTATGCTGTGTGGTGTGTATGCAAGCACAAGCGTGCATGTTGGTGTTTTGTGTGCTTGACAAAGGACATAGTGGTTTCCTATATGAAAAAAACAACATCAGTTGTAACATACCAAATGGGTACGCATTCACAATTGGATAGAATTACTACTACTATCTAATTTATATAAGGTTCTACATTCATGTGATCTCAACTTAATCAAAGTTTTAAGTGTGTTTTATCAGCTACATAGCATTTGCATAGATCTTCCTAACGTATTCAAGTTACGATTTAATTTGGAAAGCCTGATTTGTGCCATGATTCCCAGTACAACTGAAAATTGTTTGTCCTTTCTATCTTCATTATTGCCACCTGGGGCACGAGAGTGGGTGGGGGTGTCTCATAGAGGTCCTTACCTTCATAAAGCTGGGCGTATTGCGGGAACCCTGCTGCTCGGAGCCAGGTACAGGCCTCTTTGGCTTCGATCTCTGCAAAGGAGACAAAGTAGAACAATGCAAAGGCATGTCAGGTGTTGTAGGAAACACAAATAAAAGCATGCATAACATATAATAAAATCCTCTGACACAAAGGGTTTTTATAAAAAGTGCAAATGAAACATCATTTGAAAAAGGCAATCCTGTCAAACTATCAAAGTAAGACAAAACTATGGAATTAAGCAACAAATACGAACCCCTTGACCTTATTAGCTGTCTCACACTTGGTCACTCTCCTCTCACATGCTTCTAAAGCTAGAGGTCAAAGCATCATTTGTGCAAATTGTGTTAACCCCCTCACACCTCAAGTGTGTGCCATTTAAGTTCCTTATCCAGGTAAGGCAGTGGTTGGCTCACATAGTTCTTTGACAGAAAACATCTGTGTGGAGCCTTTTCCCATAGAATATGACTACACCCACAGATATTAAAATGCCATTTTGTGACTCAAAGACTGGTTGTTTGTTTTCTGGGTTTAATTTTTTTTGGACGACATGGATGTCTTGTGACTGTAGTGCTTCCCTCCAGCTTCTGTTCCCTCATGATGTCAATATAAAGCTTAAGGAACCTCTGATAGTACGTAGGAAAGAGTGCTTTACGTACATATCAGGTGTATTCTCAAGTGTCCATCAATGGCATTACTAACGCAACATTACTACTGCCAGACAAACTCCTCAATAACCCCCATTAAACACAAGGTGTGACATTTAGGCTCCTTATGCTAAGTACTGACTGAATGTTGATGTCCACTGTGTCAGAGGAGCCACGGTGATGTCTCCCAATTATTTGCGAAAGCCCTTTAGTCGACATATGCCAAATGGCTGCAAACACCCCAGCCTCCTCAATTGCTCCATCGCCCCCACAGCCAGCAGTTTGTATAAAGAAGACAGACAGAAACATGTCTCCAAGCCTTAATGAGCTGACTTTACAATGTCCTTAGTGGAACGACAGCTAGTACACAAATGTAGCACAACCGTGAGAAAACACTTAAACCAAAACTAGTAGTAGTAGTAGAAGAGAGACTGGCAAACCATGGACAAAAGTGACAACATATAGAACCACTGCCGAACATGAAAGCTAAATGATTGCTAATCCTGTTACCAAAATAAGAAATGTGGGTAAAGTTTGAAACTCAGGCAGGATAGTTACTTCAAATTCTATAATATTTGCACTTAGACATTGTAATATTCTTTTACAATTTTAATAGGGGTGCTATGTTAGGCTGAGCTAATAGTATGCACCGGTAAAGAGATGCTGAGTAGTTTATTTTATCTTTGAAACACCAGTCTGGCAGTTCCACCTCATTTCAAGGCAAAATTACACCAAGGAATTGTGAAGAACATTTTAAGCTCAAACTCAAGAACAGGAGCTTACAGACTGTGCCTGAAAAGAGACAAACGACTTCTTTAGTAGTATTTTGGTAGAAAACTACAGTAATATTAAAGAAAAATAATAAATAATGTCAAAGAAGGGAGACATTAACAAGTGGGAATTGACATGACATGGACAAAAGAAAGTAACCATAAAGTACTGTCAGACAGACAGAGAGGTCAGAAGAGGACCACTGCTGCAAAGGGTCTGGACTCAACCATATACGAGCATTTACATACCAACAACAAGCCTAGACGGCAGACAAACCCACTAACAACAAGGTGTGACACGACGAAGACAGGGTCTCCCCTCTGCCACTGCAGGGGCCAGCACTCTTCAAGCAACCACTGTGACACCAGCATGCACCCAAGTGTCTAATAACACATTAACAACTATGTTTTAACGCTTTTTCATTTGACAAATGAGCTCTATTTTTCCTTGTGGATGTGACATGGCATGTCTCAGAAGCTGTGAGTTTGGTGGGTGTGTGGAGCCTAGTATTTCTGGAGCGTAGTGAACCCAGAGAAACATTGAAACCAAAGGGTAATTATACCAACATTCTTGAAAGCGAGCACTGCATAGGGCTAGAAATTCTTGTGTTTGCTTGTGTATCTACGTGTGTGTGAGTGTGTGCACATGCAAGCTTGTGTGTGTTTGCAAAGACTAACCTCATGTTTAAAGACAAACTACTCAAAAGACAGTAAAGCTATTGAAATGCAAATTAGACATACAAACACATGGTTAGCTTTCAACCCCCAAACCCCAAAAAAGAGGGCTATGGGATCCATTAAGTGCCTTTGGAGGGAAGCTATCCAGTGACACACCCCATTGGGCTAGAATGTGTGTCAAATCTACTTTACAGTGACATAATGTGGGCTTGGTGTGCCTAGGAAACAAAATAATGACAGTATTCACCCTGTGATGGGTAAAACTGAATAATATTTGTCACTGCTTCACATTGTGTCTCCATTCATTCACAGGGTGAAGCAAGAATATTTTTCTGTCTTTTGTTTGGCTGGAGGAAGTGGACAGGGGCATGGGGCATCTGGCACAAACAACCTAACAATAGAGCCACACACACATATAGTCTACACAATCTGGAATTAAAAAAAGTTGGATCAACAAAGCCATAAAATAAGTTTATAAGAATATCTCAAGCACTCTAGTCATAAAAATGTCATCCTACAACACCCCACCCAAGCCTTTACATTTTTGTTTTGTTTCGATAACTTGAGATCTATGGGTGTATTTTACTTTTGGTCTTCCCTCACTGTCCACCCCAATTCCTCACCCCTCGCCAGGGAACTACCTCACTTCCTCTTCCTGCTTCCTTCACAGGAAGAGAGCCAAGCGGCACTGCAGTGGCCGCCGACCACCCGGCTATAAGGCCCTGCCTTCGTTTGTTCCTGGCCAGATAATAGGCAGAGAGGCAGCCAAGACAAACACTGGCTCCGGTGATTGTGTGTACTCACCAAACGTCCTCATGGTTAAAGACCGCTACAAAGCCACATTGGACAAATATGTCTTACAGCAAGCACTTAAATGTGACAGCAAGAAATGTAAATCACTGAGTTTTCCTCAAATAGAAAACGTAAGTTCACTACCGTGATAATGATGGTGATATCTGATCTACATGTGCCAAGTTGGCTGAAGTACAACAGATGGAAAGGAGTCAGGCCAGCACCAAAGCTTCAATGCCAACTACAGTACTGAATATACTAATATAGAATGTCCTAACAAGCTAATTATTCTACCAGTTGACCACAAATTTCCTTATGTGCGGTGTAATTTCTGGAGCAAGACATTCAGGACACATTCTTTTCTGTGTTTAGATTTAGTTTTCTTCATGTGGTAACAAATGAACACACCAGTCACCACAAGAAAGTTGTCAGACTTGTCATTTTTACCCCAAAGACTGCAGGCTACCAGCTAAAAGATCAACATATGGTATCAGCAGCATGTTATTCCCTGGCTGCAAAAGGTAACCTTCTCCTGTTTGTCATCTTATTACCATCACTGATTGCAGGCTGGTTGGCATGGAGACAGACAGAAAGACAAACAAACAGCTACACAGGTGAATATGTGAATCTGGCTACAACAGATAACATGACTAAAGCCAATGCTAATAGAGATGTCTTATGGATCACATGAGGCTTTTCTCTTGGAATTTGTCTAAAGCTGAACTGGTGAGCGGACAGTCGGGGTTAAGCTTCACCCACTGCCCAGTGGTACTGACTTCTAAAATTATCCATCATAGTCTTTTCTTTCCTTTTCCCTGCTCTTACCCACAACTCCTCTGCTCTCTTATGCTCGCTTATTTCAACTCTGCTCGGCCCTTCTCTTCTCTCTTTTCCTGTGGCAGGAAGTTCTCACAATTGCCGACCACAGTTTCCCTCCATCGCAGGAGGCAGCGGGGTCTGGCTTGGCCGAGTCTGAATGCTCAGCTCCAGTGGGAGTTTGTCAGCAGCTAGCAAACAAAGGATGCTGCTCCCCACCTCAGAGGCTCTGCTACATGGTAAACTGGAGGTCAAGAGTCTGAATACAGTTATCACTGGGGCTGGGTCTTTGAAGTTGGCAGATAGAGAAGAATGCTTGACTAACAACTGTTGTGAATTGAGGTGGCTTATCTGGAATTACCCGATCATCGCCGGGTCTCCAAAGTGCCGACTGTAAAACAACCCAAAAGGCGACCATAGGGTTCTTATCAACTCCAGGTTGGAGTGGGTCATTCTCAAGGAGCTCCAAAGTGGGTCTAGACAGGTGATGTGATAAACCAGGCCAGACTCCGTGGCTCAGCAGTAATCTACAACAAGCAAAGCCAGGAGCCTGGATGCTTCACCTCAATGGTGACAAGGACAAACTCCTGATGTGTTCATGAACTTGAAGAATGTGTTTCTGATTGATTCTTGATCTGACACTTTGTGAAACTATTTTGCAAATGATCTCAATGTCCTAAACGGCTTGAATCAATATGATAGCATCAGAACAACTGGAGAGAACAGTCTTTTTAACGTGACCAGTGCAAAAATCCCTCCAGTGCTCCACTGGAATGCAAAGATGGGCGATAACAGATTTTCTTCCTGATGGGTATTAGGTTTTGTGATTCCACGGTTGAGACAGCTGGTGTTCCCTGAGAGGGTCTGGCTGTTAACTAAGTGAGACGATGCCAGGAATATCACCATCTGGCCATCCTCAAGCTATGCCCCGTTGACACACACACACACACATACTGCAAAGAATAATGAGGTTACTACCATGGTCCATTCCAGTTATTTACCACCAGCCGGGCTAGGCACGAACAAACACACAGCTGGCCCACATGGATCATCGCAGAGCTAACCCCAAAGGCCCCTGTGCACCCTGATGAAAGATTTATGGTCACATGGAGGGCCCTAGCCGTGGATCAGGTGACCAGACATATTCAAAACCTCTGATAAGCTTTCCAGTGCCAGATGACAGACTACCTGCCGGGACCACCCCCTTGATGATTATCCATTCATAAACAGATCCCAGGACAGCTTGAGTACCTTCAGCAAAGGGAAAGTAAGAGCATAAAAAATCAACATGTCATGTCTTCTCACAGAACCAGTGACAGATAGCCTAATGTAAAATGTGCCATGTGAATC